CCAACCCCATCCCTCCCACCTCACCCACCCACCGGCTGCTGGCAGTCTGCCCCCGAGCCCAGACTGAAACCCCACAGCCTCATCTGTCTCAGGCCAAGACAAATCCATTAAAATCCCCACCTTGATAAAACAGCCAAACCTTTACGTGCGCTCGTTCAGAGCTATCAGTGACCGGGTGGCACTTTGAGGTTGTTTAATTCATGTGAATGATTGCTCTATAACAACGATTCACTGTTCTAGGAGGAAAGAGTTATTTAGAGGATGATGGCCGTCTAAAGTCTCACTATAGTACCTTCATCTACTTTGATAAGCTGAAGAGCACATGGTCCTCATTCAGTCCAAAACGTACAAACACAGATCTCTGTTTGAAATCTCTAAACCCAAACATGTGATCAGGTCATCCCCCAGACCCAGATGGGACTTTCTCTCATGATCTTTGTGACAATGTTTCATGTGTTTTCCTCTGTCAGAGCCACAATAAACATCAATATTAAATATTAATTCCATGAATCACATCCGAGACAACTTATCATTCACCTGAAAAAGTTAACATATCAGATTCAGTTTAATCTCTCAAAGACTAACAACTATTGATTGAGATTTTCTGCTAAAACATCCACTGGTAATTTTGTTTTTAACTGCCTGAGTGGTCCCATAATGAGTCATCCATAGTCACACAGCTGGAAAAATTAAAAAACAGGAATGGTTTGCCAAGAGCTTTCTTTGCGCGTTCTCAGATGGGATTAATAATGACGACCAATTACTGTTAACATCGCCTYGAGACAAGACGTTTAATGCAGCCATTAGCAGAGGTTCATTTAACAGCTGTTGAAAAGAGCTAAAACTTGTTTTAGAGGAAAGTTAAATACCCGTAATAAACCGTGGATTGATGACAAAAACAAACACTAACTTAATTTAGTACTATTTCATCTGTACCCAAGTTTGTCAAACTTAAAGGAATCTAGTTGTAACGTTAGACATTATTYGACAAACATTTACTTCAACCATAAAAACMAGACTGTAAAAGCAGTTTAGTTTTCATAAATGAGAAAATATATTGTTTACAAACGCAGAGGTCAGATGTTTCCTGTAGGACTCAAATATGATACCAGGACMCTTTTTATCCATGTCTAAAGACCTCACCAACACCTTGTAAAAACCAAACATAGCAATTTCTTTTACATTCTWGTGGATTCCTCATTTGGTGTGAAGGAGACTAACAAAGTAAAAGATACTCGGCTAACTTTTGTATTTATTACATACAGGTCCTTCTCAAAAATTAGCACATTGTGATTAAGTTAATTATTTTCTGTAATGTACTGATAAACATTAAACTTTCATATATTTTAGATTCGTTGCACACCAACTGAAGTAGCTCAAGCCTTTTATTGTTTTAATATTGATGATTTTGGCAAAAAAGTAAAGAAAATTCATGAACCCTTATCTCAAAAAATGAGCATATCATGAAAAGGTTCTCTAAACAACTTATTAACCTAATTATCTGAATCAATGAATTAACTCTAAACACCTGCAAAAGATTCCTGAGGCTTTTAAAANAAAGAACTCTGCACCGTTTATCACATAAAAAAGCCCAGTTTTCTGCTCCAAACCCAGACTCTGCGTCCTGAGGAGAGCAAACAAAGAGTTTCACACCAGGGGTCAGCTTCATGCTGTCCACACCGCGAGTAGAGGAGCTGGAGGTCAAGAGAGAGGACAGTTTGACTGGAGACACCTGACCTGTCTGTGTGTCTCCAGAAGACACCTGAGACACGTCAGTTTCGACACAATTTGTCTCAAACTGCTCTTGTTTCCTTTCTTGTTTCAAATGTTCAGATTTTTTAAAACATTTTTTAACCACATCTTGAAGTTTTACAAAAGCAGCTATCTAATAAGTCATTTTTAAACAGTATTAGTTATGTTCAGCTCTTTTGAAGTGAAGTTCTGCTGAAAGATTTTGATTAATTAGTATCTTACCTGTTGTAGATAGCAATTTGAAAGAGAAAAATTTTAATTCCTGACCAAAGTATGTAGCCGCCGTCCCAAAGCAACTCTAATCTCAAAAACCTTTTTGTGGCTCATGCAAACTCAATTTCATAAACCATAAAATYACTTTCAGTTAACAATATGTTGATTTATATAAAACTTTATGGTTATTTGCAGTGTAAATAGTGATAGCAGTAGCTAGCAGTAAGCGCGTAAAAAAATAATATAGTCCAAAAATTAGGTGCAAATATGTAAATGTTTCAAGATACATTCATATAATCTGAGTTCTTAACTAGATGCTTCTCCAGACAGAAGTTGTTCCAAAAGCTATCTGAAACAGGTAAGATAGTAAAAATCACCAKCCTAACCCTTTAATTGCAACACAAACTGGCGTTCACGGCAGCCATTGATTAATCCCCACCTTCGTGTTCCCCAGAAGTCTGACCAATCAGAAGCCCTCAGATCCACCCCAGCTGACCAATCAGAAGCCGCTGGGTCGCTGGTCTTCCGGGTCGTTGAACTGCGGCGCAGCGGGAGTCTGTCAGTCCGAGGCAGGGAGAGATGGTGGTCGGAGCGGAGCGGCGGGACTCAGCTCGGCGCTTGTGGACTTTTAACCGGAGCGGATGAGATGCCGGGGGACATGACGAGCAAACAGGACGGTCCGAGTCGGAGCGCGTGTTTCACTTTTACCATCGACAGCATCCTCAACCTGCAGCAGCGGCGCAGCGGGGACTCGGACGGGTCGAAGAGGGATTTTCAAGCGGGACACGAGGAGCCGTGGGACGTCCGGAGGGAGCGAGACAGCCGGTCAGAGGAGACAGGTAACTCCGGTTTATTTCTTTTAAATTTATTTTAAGAAACCATAGTTTTAGACTCATATTAGCGCGTAAAGAGCTGAAAATGAAGCCCGTTCTGTCGCCTCCGTCCACAGCGAAGCCCCGAGTGTCCTCCTCCCCGGCGGCGCGCAGCCCGGGCTCGGAGGAGGAGGCCGCCGTCGCCCCGGACTCTAAGCCCGCCGCCGGGAAGAAGAAAACCCGCACCATCTTCTCCAAAAGGCAGATCTTCCAGCTGGAGGCCACCTTCGACATGAAGCGCTACCTGAGCAGCTCGGAGAGAGCCTGCCTCGCCAGCTCCCTGCAGCTCACCGAGACCCAGGTGAAGATCTGGTTCCAGAACCGGCGCAACAAGCTGAAGCGGCAGCTGACCACGGACGTGGTGGCCGCGGAGCAGTTCTCCGAGGCGGGGAAGCCCGTCCAGGTCCCGGGCTTTTATAAGGACAGCAGCCTGCTGGGTGGATGTTTGTTCCCCGTGTCTCTGCCCGTCCTCTACCCGAACTCTGCGCCTTACATCTGCTTCTCCAGCTCCAAATACTTTAACCTGTTCGACACGGACTGAGGAGAACCTGGACTACATCC